AAATCCTGGAACAAGAAATGAATCCACCAAAACAATCTGTGGCAAAGTGGGCAAACCTACTTTGAGTTCACTGAAGATACCACCTTATGTAGTCAGGTAGTAAAGTTTTTGTGCATGCTGTTCTTCCTGTCTGTGACTAACTTCCTCTGTTCTATCACTGCAAGCTCCTACTCATACTTCGAAAACCTGTTCAGGCCTGACCTCTCAGAAGTCTTCCTCCAACACCCCCTCTTACAGCTGCTTCTCTTGGTGTATAAGTAACCAGGGTGCCTCCTACACAGTTTGGGGTACAAATGTTGGACCTCTCAGTTCATCCCTAAAGTGCAAATGCTCAAGACCTCACAAACCAGTCATAGGTGTATCCCAGAAGTCCAAACTATCCTGCCTTCAACGCCTTCTCCTTTATGCATACAGGATTTTCTGTGCTTAAGAGGTACCTGAAAGGGAGTCTAGCGACTCAGTCTAATGGCTGAGGCAGAAGGGTAAATGTGGCAAAACTGGCCGTGTGTCTCTGATTCCTGGAAGGTGCTTGGCTTATTTTCTGGGGTGGGCTACCCACACTCTAGAACTCTCTAACAGGAAGTGCTCCTGGCCAAATTCCCAGTGAGATGAGGCCTTGAGGATTAATGGATTACAGCTACAAGAAGCCTGGGCACTGGCTGCTGCATGCGGGGTGGCTCAGGGGTAGGGCAGCCAAGCTGTTTACAGAAGCAAAGCAAAGTAAACAGACAACGCCTTGTCCCCATGGGGAACCTGCCCAGTCGGGTCAGTGCAGTGTCAGAATCTGAGCCTGAGTAAGGCCCGTCCAGCCCGTCCCAGTGCCACCTTGATCCCATGGACCTCAGGCTCTGCCAGTTTAGGCCCCAGGTGTCAGATTTCAAAGTAATGAGTTCTTTGCAGTATCTGGAGGGCTAATCAGAACCTTGGCTTCCCCACTCTGAGGATTTAGAGCCATCATCGTTCTATCTCCCTTTAAAAAAAAAAAAGTCTAAACACAGATTTCCTGATACATTCCTTGGTAAACAACTGGAGCTACTTACTTGACTCCCTATCCAGTAAGGATGTGAGAGACTCAACAATTCCAAAATGGTTTTTTAGTTTAGTTTAGTTTTGTTTTTCTCCCAGCCTATATAGATAGAGTCTCACTATAGTATATCACTCACTGGTAGGCATCTTTCTGGTGAAGAAACCCTACCAAATATGTGTTACACTGTCTTCTAATTTTTTTTGATTCCTACCTCCTTACTGAGTCTTGAGCTTTTAGATGGTAAGATTATGTCTTTTATCTCTATATCCCTAGCACCTAGCAGATTTTCCTAACATGGTTAATAGTGGTAGCCATAATTACGGTAATAGTAGTAGTACTAAGTCACTATTGAGTGCTTGTTCTGATCCAGGCAGTGCGCTGAATATGTTATATGAATGATCTTACAAGGTAGGTACCTGTATCCTCATTTTTATAAGTGAGAAATCTGAGACTCAGGTCAAGAAACTTTCCCAAAATTACACAGCTAATAAGTGGCAGAATTGTGCTTGATACCTCTTTGTTGAATTTAACTGTGCCCTACTTACTGAAAATCGAAATATATAAAACCAGCCAATTATTAATGGTGAACATTTCCCTTATTCGTTAGAGGAAGATGCCCTCTCTCCACTCCAAGTTCCCATGGGGAGGACTGTTTCCTGGCTCTCTCAGAGATGTAACCATTTTACCACTGATGTTATAAAGTAAATTTAGCCAGAGTAACCTAGAATACTGGGCTTAGCTCTGCCACCTTTTTTCTCTGGGGAGATATAGCCCACAGGGAGAATTAATCTCTGCTCCCTCCCCACCACCGGGGCGGGTGGTGGTGGGGGGGGTGGCCTGTCTGCTCTGAGCCCAGTGCTGCTTTGGAGTGGATGGAGACAGCTTTTGATTCTGGAATTCAGTATTAGCCCAGCACACCTCTACCAGGCCTGAAGTCCCTCCTTCCAACCTAACCACCTGTCTCACTCTTTGTTTTCCTCCTCAACTTTTCAGAAGTAGTGAAGAGCCAAGCTATTCCCTGGGCTCCCTTAGAGAGCTCTCCTGCACTCCCAAATCATCAAGGGGGGGATTAAAGCTTTTTACTTTAAACAGTCCACACAGTAAAGACTGGCTAGAGAAGCCAGAACAGGGAGTGATGAGAAAGAAGCAGAAACCAAAAACTTCATGCTAAGAGTCAGCTGAAGATCACTCAAAATTAAAGAGAAGGCGCTTGGCAAATTGATGTGTAGGTAAATGACAAATAGCAATTTACAACTTGCTTGACCTCCTCGACTCTTGACGCACTTCCACTATCTGAAATGAAGGGTACTGTTACCCACAGGCACGCCAAACCCTTCAGATGATAAGGATGTGGGCCTTGTAGGGGACCTCCTCTGGTCGGGAGGAAAGGGAGATGCCCTTCCAGGCCCATTCTCTGACTTTCCTAGATTTCCGCGAACAGGCTGACAATTCAGGAAGACTGCCAACGACCTGCTTCACCCTCCCTTCTCGAGCTATCTGCTTGCATTCTCCATCTGGGTGTTTCACAGGCATTTCAAACAAAGCATGAGCAAAACAGGTCTCTTGATTTCTACCCAAAAACCTGTTCCTTTCCTCGTCTTCCCATCTCAGTAAATGGAACCAGGACCCTCTTGTTAGCTTCCGCTAATTTCCTCCTACCCCACATCCAATCCATCAGCAAGTTTTGTTGTCTCTGCCTCTAAAATAGATCCTGAGTCTGTTCACCTCCTGCTAGCTCCTTGTCCAAAGTAACCACCTTGGCCCAGTACGTGTTATGTCTCACCCGGACTCTTAAAAGAGACTTCTAAAGTAATAGCCTCCCTACTTCCGTTCTTGCCAATCTGTAATCTAACCAGCAGCCAGGTGAGCTTTCAAAATGAAAATAAGTCATTTCATTCCCCTGCTTACCGTTATTTAATGGCTTCTAAATGCCCTTGGAATAAAGTCCAAAGTTCCTCTCTCTGAATTAAAGTTCTGTGTCATATAACCCCTGCCTTCTGTGTGACTTCATCCCTTGGCTTTCTCTACCTCACATGCCAAGCCTGTTTCCACCTCAAGACCTTTGTCCAGTACTTGTTACTCTTCTTGGATCACTCTTTCTTCAGATCTTTTGGTCACGTAGGGTAAATATCACCTCCTCAGGGGAGACCTTCCTGCCTACTTCCTTCTGTCTGAAGTAGGTCGACCCCTCCCTCCCTCCCCTCCCTCTGGTCACTCTGTCTCACCTTCTTCTTCTTTTTTTTAAGCTTTTTCATTTTTTTCATAGTATTTATCACTATCTGAACTTATCTTGATTTGCTAATTGTCTACTCATTATATTTATTATCTGTATTCCTCAACCAAAGCATAAGCTCCATCAGGGCAGGAATGCTACCTGTTTTGCTCCCTGATTTCCCAAGGTCTAAAATAGTGCCTGGCCATAGAACATTCTCTGATACAAACGAAGCATTAGTTTAATGAAATTATGAAAATGAAAAGACAAGACAAAAACAAATCTAGACATCGACATATTCTGGCTCAAAAATACAGATTTCTGATCTTGTCATAGCTTCATCATTGAAGGTCAGCCTCATTCCACACTCAAATATCCACCCAAATGGCCTGAGCAGCTCTGAAGGGTCTTCTACACCTTCTTTGTTTTTGGCCTGATTCTGAGAGACAGAGTTTATCCTACTTTCTGCTTACATCCTAGTGGCCTTGAGTTCATTCACAGCCCAAGACAAGAATCGGTCTTTAACTCACCAACAACTCTTCAACACAGAACACTTCTCCTCCCCAAATGATTGCCTGGTCCATTTAAACCTGATGTGGACTGAGACTCCAACCTCTAACCCCTCAGCCCCTCCCCCAGATTAGGGGACATCCTCTAAAGCCCAGCTCCCTCCATTGTCAAGTTAATGCAAGAAGTTTGGTGATGCTATCCAGGGCGGAGAGCTGGTTGGAAATTGGGTGAGGGCAATGCTCTTTCACTAAAATAAGATGTGAGTATTAGTAAGATATTAGGTCAAAATCATGTGGATTAGAGGAATATTTATTTGACTAGATGAAGGTCTTTAAAATGAAATAGGTCATAGGCAGGGAATGGAAGACCCTCTGTTTCCCTCCTGCCCTGCCTTCAAAGCAGAGCTTGAAAGCCATGCCATGAAGAGAAGCTCAGAACTGAAGGAGTATTACGGAGGAACAGATTAAGTTCTTTCCAATTTATTGAATTATATACTTCCTCTGGCATGGGTTTTGTTATTTTTTCTTTAAATCTCAAAGATTTTATCTAAAACACAGGTCAAAAAATCATGGTCATAGTTATAGCAGGCCACAGAGTAATAGGTCTAGAGGTCAAGAAACAAAAAAATCTCAAACTGCTGATTTTTTTTTTTAAAGTATAGGGGGAGGAGCAAGATTTAAAGATACAGGCTTCAAGTTGAAGAGTAATCACTTTCCTCTCTACTAAACAGGGTTTAATCATAATATTTTGAAGAATAAATGTATTTATTCCAATTTCCCATAAATGCTGAATTTCTTTTATAAAACCTGATAAAAAAAATATGTGGGTGGGATTGTAACAATTTATGGATTCCTAAGCATTTCTTTTGACTGAACTTCATTTTATTCCCTTTACCATAATTTTTACTGGTTTCTGGGTGGTATAAATGCACAATTGGATCATTGCTTTTCACACATGTGAATATAAACGATGCTCAGTGTTCATAAGGTAGGTATTATTGCAATTCTGCAACAAAATAAAGGCAGGAGATTCGTGATTATGCAGAAAACAGTGACAATAGAAGCATTCTCTAGATGAATATTTATTGAGTGTCTATTATGTACCAGACACTTCTGGTGCTGGGGATGCATCTGCAAGCAAAACAAAACAGAAAACCCCCAAACAACATTTTACATTCCAATGAGGAGAGACAGACAATAAAATAATAAACGTAAGTAAAAAAGCACCTTGTAGTGTTTTTTTAGAAGAGAGTGCGTCAGTTAGCTATTGCTATAGAACAAACCACCTCAAAATGAAGTGGCTCAAAACAGTAAGTGTTTGTTAATGCTCATAAGGGCAAAGGGGGACGGAAATGAGAGGGCTAGGCTGCAACTTTAAGTAAGGGGGTGACCCTCATTGAGAAGGTGACTGTGGTAAACAGGCTCTTGGCTGGCTCCCTTATCCACACCTCCTGATCATCCTGCCTTTGTATAATCCCCTTCCTTTGAGTGTGGACTGGACCTAGTGACTGACTGCCTTCCAACAAACAAGAAGAGTATGACAAGAGCAATGGGATGTCACGTCCAAGATCAGGTAACAAAGAGATGGTGTCTCCCGTCTTGCACACCCTGGCTTGCTTGCTCTGATGGGACCTAGGTACCGTGCTATGAGCTGCTCTTGGGCAAGACCTGCGTGGCAGGGAACCAAGGGAGGCTCCTGGCCCTTAGTTCAATAGCTCACAAGGAACTGAATCCTGCTAACAACCAGGTGAGCAAGTTGGGTCCTGCCTCGGGGGAGCTTACGGATGGGATCTCAGCCCCGGTGCCACCTTGACTGCAGTGAATCCTTGGGGTACAGGCACCCAGCTCAGTTGCACCTGAAATCCCGATGCACGGAAACTCTCAGATGTTTGCTGTTTTAAGCTGCTAAAATTTGGAGTATGTTGTTACACAGCAATAGATAACAAATACAGTGACTTGAAGGATGTAAAGGAGTTAGCCATGTGGCAGCTATCTAGGGGAAAAGCATTCCAGGCAGAAGGTACAGCCAGTGCAAAGGCCTACCAGAGGAACAGGACTGACCTGGATAAGGAAGGGCAAGGAGGCCACTGTGTGGGAGGAGTGGATGAGGGCACAAGTAGGAGATGAGGTAAGAGACGTGACTGGGAGCCAGGTTGTGTGGGAGCTAGGAGGTTATCATAGGAACTTTGGCCATTATCTGAGAGAAAGTAGGAGCTGTTGCAAGGTTTTGAGAGAGTAGGACATGATCTGATACAGGTTTTTGAAAGATCACTCTGGCTTGTGTTGAAAATCAGCCGTAAGGAATAAGTGAGAAAGCAGGGAGACCCACTGGGAGTCTGTTGCTGTAAGCTGGGCAAGGAATGATGGCAGCTCAGATCAAGATGGTAGTGAGTAGGAAAAAAAAAAAAAAAAGATGGTAGTGAGTAGAGTTATGATATCAGGGATGGATTCTGGATGGATTCTGAAGGTAGAACCACGGATCAGTTTGTGGAGTGTGAAAGAAGGAGGAGAGTCAAGGAAGATGCCATCATTTTTGGTTTGAGAAAGTAGAAAGTACTAAGACTGTAGGTGGATCAGGTGTGGCGGGATGGAAAATCAGAAACTTTTAGTCATGTCACAACTTGAGCTACTATACATCAAGTAGAGATGTTAAGTAGACAACTGGGTATATGAGCCTAGAGTGCAGCAGTGATGTTTAGGCCAGATATATAAACACAGGAGTTGGCAGCATATAAACAGTATTTAAGGTCCTGAGACCGGAAATGGGGTTAGAAGGTTTTAAAAAGGTATTTGTCCACTTCTAGAAATGTTGAGGAAAGGGTAAACATGTGATGATGTAGGGGGAGAATGGCTAAGCATTCTCCTTGGGTAGAATCTAGTGCTCAAGGAGAGGACCTAGCTTTGGGAAGAAATCCAGAGAGATTGTTTATAGTTTAAGGAAAAAATTGTAATGACTTCAAAGTGAGCAAAAAATAATACTGGTGTCCTTTCTAGCACACTCTTTGGGTTCTCTACCCCTAGTCTTTGAGCTGTTTTACAACTCATAGACAATTGATAGGAATGCAAATAATTTCATAGACATACAAATGGATTTAGTCTGATGGGGGCACAATTGCTTTCCCTCCCGTGCTGGAGACGCTAGTTTTGCAACTATTCAGCAATTAATTTGCATCTATTACATTCATTTTGGCATGCCTCGTTATCCACATATGTGTCTTTTAGGAACTCTTTAAACTGGTTCTAACATTACCGGTTCCTTCCTTACTTAATGAGTTAAGTAAAATTGTTGGCACATGTTCATTTTATATTTGTATGAGAATCATGATTTTACATTTAAAAAAAAGTATCCTTCAATAATAGTAACGAGGGAAAGTAGCGTATGGAGGAACAGATGTCTTAGGTGGGTGGAGGAGGTGGTGGTAACCTGTGTGGGGGGGGTTCTCTTCCAGTAGCTTCATTTCCTGGGGACAGAGATGCAACATTGTCAGCAGAGTGGGAGAGGGAACGGACTAGAGAATTTTATTGTGACTGCAGCATGCAAGACCACTTGAGGTTAGTGGTCATGAATTTGAAGTGAGTTGTCTATGAATTGGATTTCTCCAGCCACTGTTCAGTTGTGTGGGCACACACACCCAGGGGAAGAGCTGAATCTAACCAGGGTGTGGTTTTGCTGAATCAGAAGCAAGAGGCAATGTAAGAGGCAAGAGTTGAAGATATATACGAAGGAATGATGATAGCGATTTCCTGGAACTCAAGCAGGCTAAGGAGATTAGAGAAGACTTATGGGCGAAGGACAATAAAAATGCCATGAGACCAATAGACTGGAGGTCCCAATAGGGTGGCAAGACTGTTGGGGTTGCAGTCCTAGAACAATGAGCTGGAAAGACAGGAGTTGGTAGTGAGAAAGGAAGCAAAATATTTTCTCTCTTTGGGGCTGGAATTCTAGCACCCAAACCGACATTCGACTGAGGGTCACTCACCTGCTGTCCACCAGATTCCCCTTTTTGTTAGTGGAAGAACACAGATGTTTTGCATGGACTGCTTAATTCCACCTTCTCCTAGTTTTATTCTTCTTTCTCAATGAGATGATTCCATGAAATCAAGTAGTTTTTTTTTTTTTTTTTCCCAAGAGTGAATAGAATCTGCAGAGATAGGCAGCACAGTGAACCTAGTCTCTAGGCTATGGAAGGTTGTGCGGTTGGAACACTGCACAAAGGACGGCAGGCACAAAGTGTGAGTGGGGCTGAGATCCAGCCTGAGCTCTGCTCACTGGGCGGTGGTCCCATCACCAGCAGCCTTTTGTGCCCACAACGGTTCATGCTCTGCTACTATGGGGATGTTCTGAGTGCTATCTTTTCTAATTCCCAGAAAGGTGTTGTATAGGCCAAGGAGCCCTGATAAAAACTGTACAATGCTATGAAGTTTTACCAGAGGGCTAGACTCAGGAGGCAGGTTTGTCTTTCTGCTGAGAAATCCCTTGTGTTCTTTTGTCCTCTACATGCTTCAAGAGTTGAGAATCTTTTCCTTCCTTTTCTTCCTTCCTTCCTTCCTTCCTTCCAATGTTTTATTGATTTAGTTGACGGAGAGAGAGCACACACACAAGCATGGGGGAGGGGCAGAGGGAGAGGGAGAAGCTCCCCACTGAGCAGGGAGCCCGATTTGGAGGCTGGATCCCAGGACCCTGGGATCATGACCTGAGCTGAAGGCAGACACTCAACCGACTGAGCCAGCCAGGCTCCCCAAGAATCTTTTTCAAGGAAGAGACTCAATACAAAACTTTCTCAATTATGTGCATAGAGTAGCTCTTTATCATTCAGTTTTTACTTGGATAATTAAATTTTGCTTTCCCTAAAATCAATACCTGGCTTTCTAGATCACTGGTATTTGAGAAACATGATGAAGTATGTGTAGCATGAATTATTTGTGGGTCACTGCCAGCTTCCCTGTTTCTTGTCCATTTATTAGAAAAATCTTAGAGGGTTAGACTAATATAGGTAATTTATAAAACCAGTTAAAAGATTTTTTTCCCCTGATAAGCAACGTGAAAGAGGGGGCAGAAATTGCTTTAGGCAGGTGTAAAAAATTTCTACTTGCTCATTTGCTATTTTAAGATCTTCTTTCAAATATTGGTTCACTTTGAGGTACATTACTTATCAATGTCCTTGAATTATCAGGTAGTTACACAAAAATTTAGTCTCCTTAAACTATTAAGTATCATATAAAAATATCTGCAAAGGCCCCCTCTTTCTTGGTAGGAATTCTAGCAATAATCACTCATTATATTAAAAACATAACACAGGACACGTCCCTGTGGAGACAAAATGATCCACACTCACCGACGGCAAATGTTAGTATAGAGGATGAGCTACAACTTGGAGACTTAACAAAAACAAAGGCTATTTTCAGCACACTTTTACAATCGGTAGTTAGTCCAGGGAATGCTGTTGGGAGGTAGTCGGGTGTCATTTCCCCTAACTTAGTAGCAACAGAATGACAGGTTGAGGTTCTGCGACTAGGGCGGCAGGAAGATCAAGAGTGTCCACCCCCAACCTATTTCTGGCTTCTCCACGGACGGCTTTGCCCGCACTCTCCATTCGGGCGCACAGAGCATTTTCACTACCTCACAGAGCAATGTCGGTTGTGATCTCACAAGCATGGCACAATTCTCAAATGTTCTCCACGGTTAAGCTTTCATCCAAGACCACGCTACTTTGTTCTGAACCCCTTTGAGGACATCGCTACTTCCTCTTTAGCCCTCACCTGGAAATGCAGTGTTTGGGCAAGGAAGGGAGAGGGGAAAGTAAAAGACATGGAAGCGGGGGTGACGGACAGTAGGGGACAGTAGGGGATGGTGGGCTTGAGACGAGGACACTGGGAACTGGGAATGCCTTCTAACAACCCCTGGTAGGGTTCTTCATGGGGCTATCATCATTTTACTTAAAAGTACAAGGAAATTCCAGAACATCATTCAAATTCCTAGACTAACCTAGGTATGAAATGACATGCTAAAGCAAAATACATTTTTTCCCCCAAATAGTTTGTTATTAAAAATTATTCGTGCCATTTGTGTGGAAATTAAGACCAAACTGCAATATGCTTTATATTTTCCCGTGCGGAAAGTTTTGTTCCTGAGTCCTGGTCCTGAGGATGGCGCACCTAAATGATAAATGAAATAAATGTCATTTTTGGAATGGACTGAGCAAATGATTGAAGTGGTATTTGATGGATGGGAGAGAAAAAGTTACAGCAGAATTAAAAACTTTAGAATGTGCTTTCATATGCCTATATTGAAAGTTTAGATGAAGCAGAATCTCAGTCTAACAGCTTTGTTTTACTACTCCAGGGATGAGGGTGGGAGGACGTTCCTAGACTGCATTTGATTATGCGTCTGATTAATGATGAGGTTCTTCCTCCCATAGCAAGGTACCTGTTAGTGCCAAACTTCAGTAGCTAGTAGATTATGACACCTGCACAAAAGCCATCAAGTTAATACCTCAGTCACTAAGCTAGTAAATCTTACGCTGCACAAATGTGCAGTTTTTACAGCGTTGCTCAGGTTGTAGTGTTACTTTTCAAGTTCTTGTTTTTCTTTTAAGCCATGCATTTATTTCCCTTTGATTTAATCATGGCTATTTTCTTGAACATAAACTGTTTTAGTGTAAACTTTATTCCTAAAAATCTCCAGATTCACTTTATTAAAATAGTTCAGTAGTTAAACTCAGGCAAACCTTAATCCAGTGGAGTAACTCCGTATGAACGAGGCTATAGCACTAGCCCATCTGCAGCGAAGGTCAGTCCATTCATGAAGGCTCTTTACACATAAATGTAAAAATATTTTATTTTCAGATGCTTTCAGATTACTTTTAAGGTACTTCCTTGAAAGACATGTCAAAAAAAGTCTTAAATAAAAGAGGTTTCCTATGATTTGAGTGGAAACCACTCTTGCTGGTTACATAACCGGAAATCTTTGTAGCTGTATGTGAAAGAATAAACTATCTCCAACAAACTCATTTTCCCCTACATCTGTTGGTGTGAAATTATATATTGTTATTTTCAAAAGCTCTTCTGCTTTTACTGAAATGCAACAGTTACTGAGCACCTACTATATTGCTTTTTATGTAGTCCAGCTCATTTGTCCCTGACAAAAAGCCACAGATGGTCTCATCTCTTCCTCTGGGGAGGTACGTGCATGTGTGAAGCCGTTTATATATTCTTGGTTAGTTTGCTTGTGAGGCAGCTTGGAGAAGTCTCATCTACTTGTTAGCAGTTGGTTGGTTTTATAAAGCATCTCGGAAGGCAGACACAGTACTCCCAGGCCTGCCAGAAGGATTTCTTTTTTGAAGATTCAGTTTCTTGAGGGGTCTTGCTTTGCTCATTCAGTGAAGACTTTTGGGTGTAAAAACGGAACACAGAGTTTCAAACAGTTCTGCAGAAACCGTGCTTTGGTCCCTAGACTTTGTTGTCCTGAGGAACTGAACCTGTCACCTGGTTTGCATGCTTGATGACTGAGGTTATCTTAAAACAGGAACGGTAGGAAAGCTTTCCTATGCTTTGGATAGGAGACAAATTTGCTTCTATAGAATTTGTGGCTGAGGAAAGCAGACAGGGCCTGGCTGAAGAAAACATATGTCACCACTAGCCACCAAGTTAAGTTGTGGAATCCAAAGGTGACAGCCATGGAAATGTAGATCATCAGCTCTGCTAAGTAGTTTGGGGAAGAAACGTATTCAAACCAGTCTCCAAAAGGGATTCGGTGGTTACAGTGAATGACCACTCCTGAAACAGACACAGAAGACTTCCTGAACAAATGAAGTTGTGGAAAGAGAGTTTACCACCTCAGGCCCCAAGTCATTTAAAAAGAGGGTTGCCGGGCACCTGGGTGGCTCAGTTGGTTAAGCGACTGCCTTCGGCTCAGGTCATGATCCTGGAGTCCCTGGATCGAGTCCCGCATCGGGCTCCCTGCTCGGCAGGGAGTCTGCTTCTCCCTCTGACCCTCCCCCTCTCATGTGCTCTCTCTCATTCTCTCTCAAATAAATAAAATCTTAAAAAAAATAAATAAATAAAAATAAAAAGAGGATTGCCGACCTGTGTGCAAACCCACTTCCTGTCATACTTCCATTGTCAACCTACTATGTATTAAAAAGTTACATGCTTAGGTTACACTATCAACTGAAAATAAGCACAGAGCAAAGCCTGTTTCTCTACCAGGCCTCCAAGCTAGTCATTGAGAGCTCAGACTGCAGAGTCAGACTGTGTGAGTTCAAATCCTGACTCTACCACTTACATGCTGTGGAACTTTAGAAAAGTTGCTTACCATCTCTGTGCCTCAGTTTCCTCATTTGTAAAGGGAGGATAAGATTGTCCCCACCTCAAGTAAGCACTGTGAGGCTATATGTAAAGCACCGGGAACAGGGCCCAGCACAGAATAAGTACTTGATAAATGTTGAATAGTATTATTCCATTTTTAATATTTCTAAAAACCTAATAAAAACTGTACCTGTGATAAGTCAACACAAGCTAACTAAAAAGTCAAGGCTTTTTTTTTTTTTTTGCCGTGGCTAGAATGACGCTAACTCAGCACAGTGATATGAACGCTCACGTGCTGGTTAGGCACGTATCTGCCGTGCAGGCCCCCAGATGTGGGCACGGAATAGTCACAGAGTGTCAGGGCTAGACGGGGCCGGGGAAATCTTTGAGCATAATGCTATCATTTTACAAAGGGGAAGAGCAAGACCCAGAGAGGTGTCTTGTCAAAAATGAGCATTTGATAGAGGAGTCAATTAATTTAGGGCAGGAGGGGAAAAAAATAAAGGAAGAGGGACAACTAACTTCTGAGGGTTAAACTCTACATGCAGTGGCTCCGAAAGGCCTCTCACCTGCTTTAGTTTTCCTGAGATTGCCGAGAATGACATGGCACTTGTACTGATGGACAGACGACCAGATAAACATCAGCATTCCGAGGATATGGAACCACCGAGCTTGCATCAAGAGATTTTTCCCTATCACATAGACTACAGAAAAAAAGAAGTAGCTTATTAGCAAGCCTGCAAAATTTCAGAGGCTCAGGGCATGATACAGTTAGTAGAATCATACAGTTAGCAGAACACAATTATCCACTTATTCTGTTCCTCATGACTAGAAAATTATCCTGACATAATTTACCAAGTCCGGAGGGGAGAGCACTGTCCTGTGGGTGAAGGGGTATGCTCCTCAGCCAGGGGCAGCTTCAGTGGCCCCTGACAGAGAGTGCCACATGGACACATTCTCCTGCTCCCGCTTCAAATGCTTCAAGCACAGAGGTCAACTCTGTCTCCTTCTCTTGTGATGCACCCTTGGGCGGTGAGGCCGCTTTGCATTTCTATTTCTAAGCCCAGTTTTATGTCTTCTTTCTTACAGTCCACTGTCAGGAAAACACTTTCTTTCTTTTTTTTTTTTTTAAGGTTTTATTTATTTATTTGACAGAGAGAGACACAGCGAGAGAGGGAACACAAGCAGGGGGAGTGGGAGAGGGAGAAGCAGGCTTCCCGCCGAGCAGGGAGCCTGATGCGGGGCTTGATCCCAGGACCCTGGGATCATGACCTGAGCTGAAGGCAGTCGCTTAACAACTGAGCCACCCAGGCGCCCCAGGAAAACACTTTCAAACGAATCTCACCCTGAGCCGCCACCCTAAGCCATTCAGGGGAGACCTTGCATCCAGAACACTGACTTGACTGGCTCCAGCCAATGAAGAAAGCCCCTGGAGGTAAAGGCTCGCGGTGGGGCTTCTCAAAAGAGAAAAAACATAAACTACAAGATGAAAACACAAACGGTATCCCTTTCTGAGTAGAGAACCATGTTAGATTTAGTTCAGAAGTAGAAACACTCAAAGTATCATCTTCCTCTTTCTTCTCCAGCTACCAAGAAGACAGGAAGAACGCAGGTCTTCCGAGGACTGGCATCAGAAAAGCAAATTAAGGACTTCCTTATGATCAGCAGGAAGCAGTCAGGCTAGTTAGGAACTTGACTGAAGAAACAAAGCTGTCCATTGACTGCGGATTGACTGTGGGGAAGAGCCTGAGGGTCTGGAGCCCAGAGACCGCCCCTACAGAGTTGATTCAGGTAAGAGAACCAAGAATCATGCGATTCCGTATGGGCACCTGGAGGTAGGACTCAGGTGATGACAGCTAATGACTAATGAGAGTCCACCAATGTCTACCTGTGTTAATTTCGTTTAAAAACTTGCCCTATATAAACAGTTTACTATAGACTCTTAATGTTTATTAGACTTAGCCATTTAATGAAAAGGTTATATTCTTACAGGTTAAAAATAAACAAAATATGAAAAATAGTTTTAAATTGGAGCAAGTCATAAGAGCAGTCATTATACATCAAATCATTATAAGAGCAAGTCATTTTAGGATTAAAAACTGAAGCAAGTGTTGGAGAGTTCCCATCGCTGCCAAGTCACCTACTCTGAATCAGAGAAAGTACCTATGAGGGAAAGATTCCTAAGAGTAAGTTGGAATTATAATGCAGGAAAAGGGAGGCAGGTAGAAGGCTGAGAGTCCAATCTGTGTAGTTTTTAACTCTTTGTTTATTCATTAATTACTGACTGAGTGTCTACTGAGCCTAAATCTGGCACAAGGGATAAAGCAGTGAGTAAGTAAGGCAAGATCTCAGTCCTCAGGACCCCACGTTCCAGTGGCAAGGGACAGACAGAAACTAGTCGGCAAATAGATAACCAAGACAAGTTCAGGTAGAGAGGGCACTCTGGAGAAAATAAAATACAACAGTGTAATGGAGACTGGCTGGAGGAAGACCCTCTAGACTTTGAAGACCAGGAGACAAGAAGGTCTGGGCAGCTTACAGACATTCTTTCTCTTCCTTTTCACAAGAACCCTCTGAAATCGGGATGCATCCCTGATTACACATGGTTCTGAGGTTCTGAGGTTCTGAGGTTCTGAGGTTCTGAGGTTCTGAGGTTCAGGGTGGTTAAGTAAGCTGGAATTCAGACTCAGGCCCCCCGACTCCCAAGCCCAGGCTATTCCTATCAGACTCCGCAGCTGGCAAATGCCCCAGTGTGTTCTCTCAACGAATTCCTGAAACCAGTTCTACCCATATTGTCCCAAATGCCTGCATATGACCTCTTGAAAGACAAGTAGGTGAAACAGAAGACAGCTTCAGAAAGGAGTGTCTAGAAAGTGATTTTTGTGGGTGTCTCAGCTGCCTTTTCTTGACTCTTTATATGGGAGGGAGGGCAGAAGCTGGGGTCGAGCTAGCAGACGAAGCTCCGGAAGAGATAATGTAATGCCAACAGAGGCCAACACACTGAAAGCTAGTGGGTTAGCCGCGTGTTCTGGAAAGCTTCTTCGGGTGGAAATTCTAGTACTGCTCACCACAAATAACAGTTCAAACCTTGATATGGGCTGCACATGAATGCCACAGCAGAAAGCTCAGGGAGGAAACATTGACTTGATTAAATTCAGTGGAATCAGATGGAGAGATGCTAGCTCAGTGGTTGGAGCCAATAAATAATTCATGAATTAAGAAAGATCATTACTAAATCATACTCTAAAGTCATTCCTCAAGCCATAGAGACCTTGGGTTGTACCATAGCAACAGAGAGAGGACATTCAAGGGGCTATTCTGATGCTGAAATCAAACCTGAGGAGAAAGCTCACTCAGCGAGTATGGGAAACATCTAGACTTTGGTCTCTATTTACACGGATGGATAGAAAACACGAAGACTTGGACTGAGAGAAAACAGTCACGAGTGGTCTGCCCTACAGTGTCTGGGCAGATGGACACTGAAGGTCCAGGGTGAAGTTAGTCTCCTAATGTCAGTCACCCCAAATGACTTGAGTTCTGTGTAATAAGCACGCATTGTTTTTACAAAAATGATAGTCCTATGTGTTAGATCTCCAGCCTCCCTTCCCCCCGACCCTCCCCAAAACACACTTCATTTCCTCCTCATAAACAAAGGTCATGATTTTGCTTCCCTCTTCCTGGCTAGTGGGAGCTCAGAAATGTTCAGACACAATTCTGACTAACCACAGTACTCTTTTGTCCTCTCCCCTCAGGCTGCCTCCCTTGAAGAAAAGCTTTGTTATAATCGGAATCATCCTAAGAACTAAATGGCAACAAAATGGCTCTCTACTCCCTCTTCCAATCACAACTGTTCACTGCTGGCCCAGGCCACCCCTTCCTCCTCGGGGTTTCTGAGATTTAATCCTGCATCACCCTTCCCCTCCCACACACACACCCCAGGGAGACTGAGCCTTTGGTGGAGCAACTGTCTTTGCTGACCCTTTCTCCTGTTCTTGGGTGTTCCCCTGCTTCCTGTCCAACTCTTGACCATGCTCCCTCTTTCTTTCCAGAGTTAACTCTGCATGAGTTCACGGACTTCAATCCCACCAAGGGAGAGCCACATCCCAATTCATCGTCCTTACACCAAGCCTCCTGAACACCGGGGACTTTTACTATCTTTACCACGGGCGTTAGTGCTTATGTTGGTGTCTTTCAGGTTTGAGCAATTTTGTAATAGTTACTGTATATACCCTTGAGCATGTTGACTTTTTCTAATGGCCAGTAGAGTTCAAACTCTTCAAATGCGAAGTGGGCTGGGCAGGTCTACTTTCACACTTCCGCCAGGCTCGGTGGAGTGCTTTGCCCAGTGACTCGGCGACCAGACCCCAGGGACCACTCACCATTCCTGCCGTCCATGGGCACTTGGCTCAGCACAGTTAGGCCAGTGAGGACATAGTAGACAAGTCCAAAACAGTACTGCACGACGTGAATCACAGCATTGGAGAAGACACTGACATAGAAGCATTCGAAGAGCCTCCGCAAGCTGTGTAGCCACAGAAATACTAATACTAAGAATGCCGACAGCGCCAGCTCACCCCCTATAATTCAGAATGCAACATGTTAGCATCTCTCTTTCTGGGATTAATGCAAAGTTATATATTGTTTTCCTGCTGTTCGACAGAGTATTAAATAAGAATAGAGCTAGGAGAGGGCCCTAAAAATCATCTAGCCTAACACTTTTTTAGTCAGGAGGAAGGGGGCCAAGTGAAGGTAAGGAATTTGACTAGTGACAAACTCAGGTCTCTGGACTCTCCTTCGTCATGTGAAAGCCTTCTGGTTACATGAATGTCACTATGAAGGAGTCGGTGCACTCAGAACCTGATGTCTGTGGATCTCTGGTTCCTGGCACTAACAGCCAGAGGCAGATGGTCAGGAAGAATGCCCGATGACCTCTAACAACCCCACCTGGTGGGATCCCTGGGTCAGGGGAGACGAGACACAGGTACCCGGACAGGCAGAAAAGGGGACGGGAACAGAGACAGAGGGAATTATGCATTTCTCTCCATATTCAAAAAAACAACAACAACAAAAAGAAAATTATACTTTCAGGGGGCCATGAGCCTTGAGATCTGTCTTTCTACCTGCCTCTCACCCTTCTGCCAAAAAAATTTGGAAGAAATGCTCGTTTTTAAGATGACATAACACCAAATGTTTGTTTTTGTTTTTTTAAAATAGATTTTTATTTATTATTTTGACAGAGAGAGACACAGCGAGAGAGGGAATACAAGCAGGGGGAGTGGCAGAGGGAGAGAGAGAAGCAGGCTTCCCGTGGAGCAGGGAGCCCGATGCGGGGCTCGATCCCAGGACCCTGGGATCATGACCTGAGCCAAAGGCAGACACTTAATGACTGAGCCCCCCAGGTGCCCCAACACCAAATGTTTTTTAAATGAACGTCGCACATACACACACACATACACACACACATCATAAGAATATAATAAGGATACAGTTTAACAAATTTTTACAAACTAAACCATCCTATTCCACCCATATACTCAGCACCCAGATGAAGAAACAGAACACAACCAGCACTCCTTTGTCTCTGCTCCAGGCACTGCCTCACCCTCCCCCCCCAACAAGGGTAAGCCCTATCCAGACTTGTAGCAGTACAGAATAGCTTTGGCTCTTTTTCTATTTTAAATACAGTAAATCCTAGTTTTAACTCTTGAGGAAAGGGTTAAAACAAATATACGAATAAAACTCCTCACAACCAACCTTCCAAATTCCAGAACCCCAGCTAGCCCCACAGTAAACAAAGGGAGAGATGAAGTTTTAATGGGTGAAAATGGATCTGCTGAGGTCTCCACCCCTCCCAAATAGGATCTGCATAGGTCTTCCCTCTGGCTGTCATCTTCTGCGAGTTCCTCTGGTTATCCAGAAAAGGATTGCTCCCTTGGAGCCAGTGGTTCGGCTGCTGGAACAAAGGACAGAGACAGCACCAGTACAGCCTGTTTCTAATTCTGCCCTCACCTTCTCCCTTGACATTGAGGCCACCTTCCGGTTTTCACCTTCAATTCCTGATTTCTAAAATTGTTCCATATATCCTTTATGCGAGGTAGAGTGAGGTGAATTTAAAGGCTATTTTATAATCATGTGGTCAACAACTAGTTAGAGTCAATTTTATTATACAACTAACGCTTACAGTATAACAAACATTTTTAACTGGTGATCAAGAGTAATTTTCTATTATATTTCTGGGGTTCTGAGACATTATTTTGGTTCAACTAGAGAAATGACAAATGTTTCAAGGCAACCCTGACGGATCCTAAGAGCTCTTCCACTGAAGTGTAAAGACTTCTGTATAAATTTATCGATAGGACTAAAAATATCAGAGGGAGAACAGCCAGTCTCGTACACAGCATAGCACTTGCTGGGAAGGCAGGGACGGAAGAGCTGACTCGCGGTCTGCTGGGATCTCAGTGAGGGACATGGAGACATCCCAGTGGCCACCGGGCTAGGAACCATGCAGAACTCTTTTTTTGCCCTCACCCTCCACTTCCTGGGCCCACAGAGGAGGAGCCTGGGGGTGGCTGTGAAATACCAGGAACAGCTCCCTGCAGGCAGGAAAGGCAGGAACAGGACGAAACGGTTAACTAGCCAGTGGAGTCGTACCTTGGAACTGGGCAGCCCCGAGAATTCTGAGCAGACCATGAAGCCAATTTGGAAAAGGCACTCCCAGGAACAGAGACTGAGTAAGGTGCCAAAGCAGGAAGCCATTCCACAGCACTGAGATGATGTAGAAGTGAGAAAAATACCTGCAAGGTTAAACCAGTTAAGCAATCATAAAGGGAGGTCCACTTGAAAGCATTATGCAGGAAGACTACTTTGAGGCTCCAGAGCCTCTTTCCCCCTTTCCCAAAGTATAGTTTTGTTTTTTTTATAGAACCTGAACCCTGCAGGCGTTCAGATTTTTACAAATCTCCTTTCAGATGATGGGACCTGTTAACTCAGGAAAAAGAGGCCTCCGGAGGTTAACAAGAACGTGATTGATCTTGTTAAACGTGGATAGAGGGTCAATTAGCAATCTCTCTTATCTCTGGGTAACAGGATTGGCTCAAGTTCCAACAGAGGGGGCACCAGACCCTGGCAAAGAGAACCTAGATTGTGCCAACAGAAGCCAAATGTGTGAAAGATTTCTAAATCCTGAGCAATGTTGCTGCAATAGCCATCCAACTGTTACACAAGATTTGCAAAACCACAAGCTCTCAGGGCTGCCAGAAACCTTAAAGGTCTTCTGATTCAGTGTCTTCCTAAATTGTGTTGACCTAAATTACTTTTATAATAACATGACAAATTTTAACTCATAAAACGAGGGATCAACGCCTGATGGTTACACCTCTCATCAAGTACAGTGCCTATTTTGCAATCAACAGTTATAAACAAAATCCAAATAAAACCAGAGCCAATGGACGTTGAAATTAGCAAGGTTACTTTAATGTGAAAGAGGATGCTGGTTTACTGAAATGAAATCACCTACTACAGCACAAAGGCCTAACACAGGTTCTTTTGAGGTCCCTTTACCTATCCTTCTCCTAGTTTTCTTTATTTAAATCAATTCAAAATCTTTCTGACTCTGCAGGGAGTCCTCCCTGGTCTTCAACACATCACTTTGTATTAAGCTTCTTCCTCGTCACAACAAAGTAAATCGAGCTCAGGGATTCTTCTCCAGATGATCCAGATGTTTGTATCAGAATTTAGTTTACCCCTCCCCTCCCCAGACGATGCCCACAACCCAGTCTGACAAATACTGATCTAATCTGATCATTCCAGAGCAACCCACTTAATTCTTCCAACTACTGTTACAAATTCTATCACTAGATCTGCCCTTGCTGAGCGAGCCTGTTGTTCCTGATTGCGATCTTCTCCGGGCTTAAGAGCTTAGTTTCCTCAAAAGTTCACCTGTGTCACTTCCAATGCTCCCTCCCCCACCTGGCCACTGGTTTTTGGTTGCCTTCCAGGGTCTTTCTTAAGACACACTTCCTAGAACTGAGCCCAGGTATGGTGCGAGCTGCAGGAGCAGAACAGAATGTCAGCAGGACGTTGCTTTGAAGGCTTCCACGCAAAGGGGAGGGGCCGACTTTTGGAAAGCATCTTCTGGGCCAGCCACTCCACCTACTTCCTTTCTTCACAAATATTTGAGAGCTTAGAACGTGCTGGGCAGTGTTCTACGATCTGGGAACTCAGCATGGAGCAAACAGACCAGGTCTCTGCCTTGATGTTTACCTTTCAGCATATGGTCAACAAATGAGCCTATAGTTACCTAGCCTAATATTGGGTTAGGGGGACAGAAGGGGTGCAGAGGGGAGGCCATTTGGATGCGTAGTCAAGGATGGTCTCTCCAGAAGTGGATATTCGGCTAGAATGAATAATCCCAGTGAACTTCTAGTGGAAAGAATTTTCTAGGCAGAGGTAATGACAACCACAAAGGCTCTGAGGAACAATAAAGGATAATTGTGTGACAAGGACACTGGCTTTTATTCAGGGTGATGGGGGGCCATTTGTAAAGAGTGACTTAAATAGCTTCTGTTTTAAAATCCTTCTGGCTAATGGAAAAGTTCTGGAAATGGATAGTGGCGATGGCTGCACAACAACGTGAATGTATTCAACACTAATGAACTGTACACCTGAAGAGGATTAAATGTTAGGTGTTATGTCATGTATATTTTACCAGACACACACATACACAGAGCATTGCTCGTTCATTTCACTCTTTTTAAAGTTAAAAAGAAATCCCTCCGGTAAGTAGGCAGAAGCAATCCTGTAAAGTTTACTTGGTTATCTTCACGGGGCAGATGAGAAAACGAAGGCTCAGATGTTAAGTTACGTATCCAAGGTCGCACAGTAAGTGGCAGCATTTAGCTCCAGACTCAGCCTGGATGACTCTGAAATTAAAATCACACTGCAGTACTTCCTTTTTAAATTAAAAAAAAAAAAACAAAAACCTTTTTTTTTTAAAGCCCAGCATGGAGCCCAACACAAGGCTTGAACTCACGACCCCAAGACCAAGACCTGAGCTGAGAACAATATTCGGACACTTAACCAACAGCCACCCAGATGTCCCTACGCCGTGGCACTTCTAATTCACGCAACCTAGACCTGCCTGAACCTGAACTTTTCTGTCTCTATGTTACACGCGCCAATTTATACCAAGCTTAAAGTCAACCAGTCACCCAAATGGGTTTGGTATAAGCTGCTAAGCCACATTTTGCTATGCCCTCCTTGTGCCCTGCTGTTTCTGATTCACAGGCAAACTGCTGTTCTTATTCCTACATTCTGTACATTCTGTCTCTTGTTTGGCTTGCCTGATTTCCCTCTGTGAGAAACATCTACTCTATAAATCTCTTGCTTTTTAAAAAGACCCAGCTTTAGCCTCAAACAACAGATCTAAGAACTCCACTCTTTTTGTTTTAGACATTCTCCCTCTTTTTCCTCCCTTGGCACTTTGCTTAATTGTAGCACTGTTTCCCAAGCCTGTGGGAAGAGGGATAAGGTGATCCTTATGGAAACACAGGACTTGGCACCAAACAAGCACTCCTTTAATAAGTATTTCAGTGCTAATTAGAAGTTAGGGACTGTTCTAGGGATACAGAAAACAACAGATAATTCCAGCCCTCATGGCACTTACACTCACACATAAAAGTAAAATTTATAGCATGCCAGCAGGCGATAACTGTTCCTGAGAAAACGAAAGCCAGGAAGAGAAGAAGAAATATGGGGGGTGGTAGAATTATACTTTTAAACAGGGTGGATAGGCAATACCTCATTGAGAAGGTAATATTTGAGTAAAATTATAGAAGTAAGGACATAAACCATGTATGCGGCTATATGGGGGAAGAGCTTTCCAGATAGAGGGAACAGGCAGTGCAAAGGCCCTGAGGTGGGAAAGAAGACTAGCAGAGAGGCCTATAAAACTGGACTGGCACCACATGGGGGGCTAACTATAGGACACACAGTCAATGAGGTGCTGGGAACAAAACCATACAGGGTCTGTGGGCTCTTTCTGTGAGTTGGAAGCCACTGGATGATTTTGAGCCAGGAGGCAGGATCTAATAATACATATTTGCTGATAGCTGGAATGGAGCCAAGGCCTCATTAGGGGAGTTATGGGGCTAACCAAGGAAGTGAACTAATGTTTTCTGAGTTCTGACTAGGTGCCTGGCCTGTGCTAGGTGCTTTAATATCATCACCACCTCTATGACAGGGAGGTGTTATTATGGGAGCACTCTAAGCCATACCACTGCCTTTGCCTGGACCATCATAACAGCCTCTTATTCAGTCTTCTCCACACAGTGGCTAGTCATCTTTACAAAACATGAATCTCATCATGCCATGCCTCCTTCCCCATCCTAAAGCCATCAATGGCTTTCCATACACACAGAATAAAATCCCATCTCCACCATGGCCTCACCCCTCCCTGCTGGTCCTCTCCAGTGTTGTCACTGTCACTGTCACGGCCACCCCATTTTGCTCATGATCAAGTAATCCTGCTGGATTTCCTCCGAAGCACTTAGTACCACCCAAAATCATCTTGTTTTGTAAGATCTGTTTACATATTTACTGCCTGTCTTATAAGAACAAAAGCTCTTGGCACCTAAGTACTCTATATAAACACTGGTTAAGCAGTTAAGTTAATCAACAAACCAACTAAACCTAAACCCTCTTTCTCTTAAAATTAATTCAAAACACAGTGATCAAGGACTTTATTATTTGTCAGGCACTGAACCAGGGATATGGTAAAAAAACAAGACAAATGTAAACTTATGGCCAGTTTATAGTCTAGAGCAAGGGTTCTTAACATTTTTCTTCCATGGACTCCATTGGCAGTCTGGTGAAGGCTACTGGCCACTTCTCAAAATGTTACTTCAATCATAAAGGACATAGGGATTACCAAGGAAACCAATTATATTGAAATATAGGTAACACAACTACTAAAAAAAGAAATTTGTGATATAGTAATATATGTGCTTAATTACTGCATCAAATAACAAGATCTAGGGATTTATTCTTGTGGTGATGAAAATGTTTTGATGTCTCTTCAATATTTTTAATGTGACATTAAAAAAAAAAAAACCTGTCACAATATTGCAAGTATTGCTAATTCTACTGTGGTTCGTTGATTACATTTATCATTAAGAAAATGCTGAATTTTGGCTAGAGGTTAGTGAAATGAAGATGTAATTTTTTCTAATCCAGGTTTGCCCTAAATTCTGTCCATAGGTCCTCTGGACCCCTGCTTAGGACTGCTGAACCCCTGGAGAAAAGTCTGGATGGCTCTTTGCTTCCAGAACTCAATTCAATTGCAATGCTTTGATACCATTTTGAAATCCAGAAGCAGAAGTACTTCTATACACATTACACAAGTCAAGAGCATTGTGACTCATGTTGGACATCACCTATTTATTCAGATTTTCTAGGAAATCAATAATCTATGAGCCAAAAGGAAAATAAGAAAAGTACCATCACCTTAATTTAGGAAAAAACCTTACCCAGCAGCGGTAATGGAATGGAACATGCCATGAGCTGATTTAAGGTTTTATTCCTGCCTCCTTAGAAAAAAACAACTCCAAACAAAATTACTTAAGCACCATTTTAGATGCAGAAATGTGATTTACAGCTGCCTCTATGTGTAAAAATTACAGGCTTATTTTCACTTTTAAGAGTACGATTGGATTTTGCACAAGGAAAAATATTTAAATATAGTATCTAAGCATATTTGTTTTTCTTTCTTGGCCTGGACTTGCTGTATCTTCTTCCAATACTAAAAGAAATGGTCTAAATTTAGAAAAAAACAAAACAACATCACTTGGGCATCATGGGAGGTCCTACTCTAGAATTCTGGAAGAAGAAAAAGGTGTAAATTATGGGAGAAATTACAACAAGCCCAAAAAGTAGTAATGAATAAAGGAAAGGTACCAAATCTGTGTCTTAGCTGTCATATAATCACGTGCTTAAGCACTAACAGCTGGGGAATGGGAGCCAGAGAATCGGCTGAGTGCAGGGAATGATTTGAAATGTGTCCTTTAATCTAGGGACACCAATACCTTTTTCAAAATTCAGAAAACAAATTGTTAGAATTCACAGTAAGAAATATTTTTTCTTCACTTTATAACATTAAAAGATAATCTGAGAATGCCATTGCTATAAAGCAGAAAAAGGACGTATTGCAATCAAACTTGATTAAAAATAGGATGGATAATTTTTGCTTAAAAAGAGCCTCTAATAAATAGGGGGTTTGACTAATTTGTCCTAAATACTTCTACCTCTTCCCAGGGCCTCATTCCCTTTCCTCTTCCTGTGAATGACCTAGTTCTTCCTCCTCAGGGTTAACACCTGATGAATCTTTCTCCAACAGACAAAAGTGTTGCGGGGGCGGGTTTCCACGTTTCAGAAGCCAAGTTACACTCAGCCGCATTCTTGTCTGTGGACCTGGGACACTCACGGTCTCTGAGGTTCAAGCGATAACCCTGGTGTTTTTTAATACATTTGAAACCTCACCACGTTCCTCCAGGTTCCTTTCTAAATGTCAACTTTAGATGCACCTTAAACACAGAAAAGCCACTGCTATTTTCCTACCCTCTAGAAGTGTTTGGCTGACTCTTCCCAGCTATGTTCTGAATTCAAAGTAAAAAAATAAAAACCCCCAAACAAAAGCAAACTATAACAAGTCTTTACAATTTCTGAAAGAATCCTACTTAAGCCCTAACGATTTAATCTTTCATTGAACTTGGTTATGAAACCTGTTGAAAGTCAAAGCTTCGGGGTCAGGCCTGCCAAAAATGTGCACTCTTGGGCCACTTTCTCCAGGGGTACCCGCCAAGGTGCTAGTTAGGAGGGTCGGTGCAGACGAAGGAGGTGGCGACCCGGTGACCAGCGGCTCGCCCCTCGTTCTGACTTCGAGGGTCGGAGAGACAAATGGGAAAACAGAGGAGCGAAGGGCCGGCCTGCCTTCATGTCTGCAAGCGGGTGACCTCAAGTTAGATTATGAGCCCTAGAGTGCAGGGGAGGGGGAAAAAGGAGAATTTGGGACCAAAAGGCTTTAACCTGACGCCTGGGGACCAGGCCTACATTCGGAAGCGCTGCCACTTTCCCCGAGGGAAAGACTCCGTGCGGCCACAAGTTCACGTTCACGCGCGGCTCAGCATCCTCGGTGTCCGCGGGCCCTCGGGGTATTCCAGCCCCTGGGCCACGACACGGACGCGGCAGTGCCCGGCCGCCCCGCCGACGCAGCGCCGCGCCCGGGAGACCCGTCAGGGCCTCCCGGGCCCGGGCCGCGCCGGCCCCGCGCCCCGCCTCTGCTGCCCCCTGCCGGCTGCCCGAGCCGGCGCCCCGGGCTCTCCGCGCCTCGGCTTCCCGGGCTCGAGCCGGGGCGCGGTTACCTCTTGGGGACATCAAAGACCCGGCAGGCGGCCGGGCGCGACGGCCCCTCACGCTTGGTTTTCCCATAGCGGATCAGGTCCTGGAAAAGCGCGCAGCCCGGGAGCAGGCCGGGCGGCACTAGCTGCAGCAGCAGGGTCAGCAGGAAGGCGGCGGTCAGCGTGAGCCACAGAGCGCGCAGCGGGTACAGCGCCCAGAGCTCGGCAACAGCCCAGAGAGCCATCGGCGAGGCGCCGGACTTCACGCTCCCGGGGCCCGAACCATCCGCCGGCGCTGCAGCGGCTGTCCGCGCGCCGCACGCCAGGCTCAGGTGGGCGGGACGTCGGTAACGCAACGCGGGACGGGGACGTACGCGGCCCCGCCCAGGACCCGCCCCGGGGGCGGGGTGACGCTGGCGCGCGTTGGTCGTCCTCAGTCCCTAATCTGACTCAGGGACCTGTAGGCGGAACCCCGGAGTGTGATTCAACCATATGACTCAAAGAACAAACAACCTGATTGCTGCATTATTTTCAATGGAAAAATGGAAACAACCCTGAATGGTTCACTTTAGGGTATTTAGTTAAATTATGTTACTGTGACAGGTTGTAATATCATGCAGACATTAACATGGTAATGACGAAGACTGTAGAAACACGGAACGGAACGCCGTCTATGATAGTTGAAACAGTAGGTTAAGTGAAAGTAAGTTGACTATAATTAGTCAGACAATAAGTTGTCTGTGATTGCAGACAATCATACTAATACAGATACATGTATATATTGATGAAGAAGGCAAGTCATACACAAAAATGAGTAGTTGTATTAGGATGTCGGGAATATGTATAATTTAAACCTGTGAATTAGAAAATCATCAAGGCAATTGCAAATAACCCAAAAGTGAAAGTGGTAAAGATTGTATTTAAAAAACAGCATTCCTTTCCTTAGAGTTCCACTCCCTAGAGGCAGTTTTTAACTCTAGGTGGTAACAATGCTATTAATTGACTCATCAATTTTAAACATTTAAAATTTGGGTTTAATAAATTTAAATCAATAAAGTCAATCAATTTAAATATTGATTTTCAGTTACGATAAATGAAAATTTAACTCTTTTAGATAATTTTAAAAAAACCTTTAAAATGCCAATTCCAAAAAATATTGTATGTCTATTATTTGACAGGCATCGTTTTGGACAATGAGGACAGAGAGGTTTACAGGACAATGTCACTGCCTTTTTGGAGCTTACATTCTTAGTAATTGAGTGGCAGGTGAGAGATGAGAGAGGGGAGAGGCAGTTGGCTTATCACTCTTACCCCAATGAGATACCCTACATGTGTGTTGAATAAACATCAGGGAACTGGGTGGGTAGGTTAATGTGACTTCAACAATCCGAAGGATTATTAGAGTTTTGGTTCTCTGTTCGAGAACACCCAAGGCTTTACCAGTGCCCTGAGAGCCATGTGATAAAGGATGGTCAAATTGGCCTTGTAGCTGGGACAGTGAGGCCTTTTTGTATGACTCAGGATCTCTTCGGGAGGAGTCACCCCTTCATTTTTCTTCATTGTTTTTAGGTTAACACCACAGAAATGCGGCTGGCCTTTCTAGGACATCTTTCCAGACAATCTACTTGCAGGGTCCAAGTTTCCTGGGTGAGAGAGGTTCTCTTTTAATTATTTGACTTGGGAAAGATTGCAAAACAAGATAGGTGTGTGTGTGTGTGTGTGTGTGTGTGAGATAAAATAGGAAAGACTGAGGCTAGAGGGAAAAGTTTTCTCTCTCTCTCTCTCTCTCTCTCAGTTCAGATTTTAATGAGTATATAGCTCATATTCAGACAAACCACCTGTAGAGGGCGGTGGCTGAACAGGAAGTCACAAGACAAACCCTATTGAGAGCATTTGCATATGTTTAAATCCTTCCTGGATTGAATTATTTCAGAAGTGGAAAACCAGGCTAAAGTCTGTTAGAGAGATCATTACCAATAAGTATAAGCCAGTTTTTATCTTTCTTCATTTAATGACCAGCACTATATGATCAACAAATCTCTGGCCTTGCCTGCAGTAAATGATAATGTCATTCTTCTAGTTGTTCAGGCCAAAAACTTTGAACTCAACCTTGATTCCTCTCTTTCTCTCAGAGCTTAATTATAATTAGTCAGCAAATCCTGCTGGTTGTGCCTTCAAAATACGAAACCCAAATTCAATCAATTCAATGAAACCTTTGGAGTCAGTGCTTTACTAAAGACCCTAGCCAGCTCAATAAATAAGAAAAAGAAAGGGAAGTTCTAAGGACTGTAAAATAAGAAACAAACTGTCATTATTTGGAGATAATCAGAAACTCCAATAGAGTCTAAGATATTAGAACTAATTGGAGAATTTGGTAAGGTTACTGGATACCAAAACCAATTTTTAAATATTGGTCATTTTATTTCCCAGCAAAACCAGATGATAAATGTTTTAAAGATATGATTTTAAATGGCATAAAATATTATGTTTAGGACTAAATCTCATAAAAGATATGTAAGTCTTTTTCAAAGAAAATAAAATCATACTGGTATTAAAAAGGACATATCTAAAATGAGAGCTATACTAAGCTAACAGACTGGTTAAGATGATAATTCTCCCCAGACTGATTTATGGAATAAATATAAACCTGATTAAATCCCAACTTTTTGTGGAACTTAACAAGTTGATTCTAAAATTTATATGGAAGGGGCATTTGGGTGGCTCAGTCAGTTGAGCATGAGACTCTTGGTTTCAGCTCAGGTCATGATCTTGGGGTCATGAGACTGAGCCCTGCCTTGGGCTCTGTGCTCAGTGGGGTGTCTGCTTGAGATTCTGTCCCTCTCCCTCTACCCCTTCCTCTGCTCTCACTCTCTCGTTTTCTCTCTCTAAAGTAAATAAATCTTTAAAAAATTTTATACGGAAGTAGGAAGGGCTAAAGATGGCCAAGGCACTGTTGAAGATGAAGGAGAAGGTTGGAGGGCTTGTTCTATGAGACATCAAAGCTAACACAGAGCTGTAGTAATGGTGTCAGTGTGGTATGGAAGTAGGGATAGACAATAGACAATGGAGCATGGTGGAGAGCCCAGAAACAAATCCCCATATATACAAACACTTGATGAATGATTGAGGTTGCGTGATACATCAGTTGGGAAAGGATGTACTTTATAATAAGTGAGGCTAGGAAAAATGAGTAAATCTCAGGAGATAGACATAGGTGGTGACAGATAAGGAAAAGAGAGAAAGAAATGGGACCCCTTCTTCACTCTACTAGTAAAAAAATCAATTCCTGGTGGATTAAAGACCTACTGTGAAAGGCAAAAATAAATATAGAAGGTAATATAGGAGACTACTTTCTCCTATATCTTCTAGAAGGTTACATAAGAAACTACCTGATCTCATGGTAGGGAAGTTTTTTTTCCCCCCAAGATATAAAAAAACAACTAGAAGAAAATATCAGTACATTCTACAACATTAAAATTAAAATCTTCATCAAAGGACACCATAGAGTGAAATACAAGGCACAGAATGGGGAAAGGTATTTGCTATACATATAGCCAATATAGGATTAAATTAAAAAATTTTTTTAAAGTGCAAATAGAAAAAAAAGACAGGCAACTTGATAGAAAAATGGGTAAAAGACTTGAGCGGGCACATCCCCAAAGATACTCAGATTACCAAGAACATACAAAAATGTGACCAATCACATAAATAATCAGGGAATTGAAAATTAAAATGGAATATAATATTACATCAGAATGGCTAAAATTAAAACAACTGAGATACTGAGTGTTAAAGTTCTAGAGCAACTGGAATCATCAAACAGTGCTGAGGCAGGATAAACTGTTACAACTACTTTGGGAAACAGGTTGGCATTATCTAGTGAAGTTGAAGATACCATACTCTATGACTTAGCACTTCCACTCCTGGATGCACGTTAGAGCAAGACACATGCAGGTGCTCCCGGAGATGTAGACAATAATATTCAAAGGACATTCATGATAGTTCAAAACTGGAAACAACCCAAGTGTCTATCAGCAATAGAATAGATAAATACCGCAAGCCATTTTTGGACAATCCAATATTCTGGTGTGATTGCAAAGAACCCTAATATAGCTCCATGCAATATGGACGAATCTCACAAACAATGCTGGGTAAGAAAAGGCAAGACACAAAATTATACACTGTATAATCCTACTTACATAAAGTTTAAAAACAGGAAAGAAAAGCAAAGACATAATCATTATAAAAGGCAGGTCATTTTCAAGGGAGAGAAGTTTGTGTTTGGTAAAGGATTTATATGGGAGACTTCTGGGGTCCCAGTGGTGTTCTATTTATTGACCTGTGTGGTGGCTACATAGGTGTTTACTTTATAATTACTGTTATGCTGTATACTTGTGTTTCATGTACTTTATGTATTTTTAGTGCATTTCACAATAAAAAGTGTTAGAAAAGTATATTCATAATCTGATCATTTCTTACCAAGTCATTCCTACTACCCTGGTCCAAGCCACTTTTGCCTCTCTATTATTGTAATACCTTCTAACTAGTATCCTGCTTCTACCCCTTGTCCCCCTTACAATCTATTCTCAGCAGAGTAGCCAGAGTAATCTTGTTAGAAATGTAAGTAAATCATGTCACTCCTCTGCTCAAAACTCTTTACCTGTCCGCTTTCTACATGTTTACCTTAGATCCAGTTTCCTGGGCATTCGTTCTATCTTTCCATTTAGTTGTCTTTCTCAACTGAAAAAATAACATAAAAAATTGGTCTAAGCCTTTGATACTTCTGCCTGGCACAACTAAACAACTTTTCCACTTGGAAAAAGATTGTCAGAGAAAAAGAACTCACACTAAAGATGGGTTCCTCAAAAGGTATTGAACTCATATGGAATCAATCTACTATGAGTGAGAAAAATCAGGAATACAGAACTCTCAGAAATTGAAATAACTAAATCACAATCTGAAAGGTATAAAATTAGTATGTTCAAAATGATCAAAGACACAATAGAAAGAATCGAAACCCTAGAAATAATGTACTATTGGAAAAGACCAGGCAAGTTTTATAGACACAAATATAAGTTCTAGAAAAGGCAAAAGTAGGGCATGGGTTGGGGGGGTGGCACTCGGGTGGCACAGTTGGTTAAGCTTCTGACTCTTGGTTTCGGTTCAGGTCATGGTCTCAGGGTCATGGTCTCAGGGTCATGGGATTGAGCCCTGAGTCAGGCTCTGCACTCAGCATGGAGTCTGCTTGGGAATCTCTCTCCCTCTTCCTCTCCCCCCTTCAAAGAAATAAATAAATAGATCTTAAAAAAAAAAAAAAGAAAGAAAAAGCTAAAAGTGATTGA